AAAATCTCAACTATTTATTTTTGTTACTACTTAGGCAAGAAGTGTTTATTTCCTTCTTAATTTTGGTATCCTACTGTAATTGTTTATGGCGCGTTTTTTTAATCTTTCCACTTGCTGCTGTGGCGCCACCTTATTTGGTTCCCTTTCAACAGACACTTTTTATTTCACTAAGATGATTCTCCTTACTTCTACTCTCCATATTCTCTCCTAATTTTGTATAGACACGAAAAAAAAAACCGAGACGACTTCAATTAGCATTAGAAACTGATTAACGATGAATTAATTTGTCGTACCGCCAACTGAAATATCGAATGCCAACAAAAGTTGCCAACACGCAAAACGCAATTTATTCCACTACGTTATCTTCCTCCACGGAAAACCAAAGAACCAGATCAGATTGAAACATAATTCACTAGTCTCTTATTGGGCTGATTTACAAGGAAAAGACCTAGATAATATATTTTTTTTATTTTCTTTTTGTAGTCAAGGAATTTTAAGCAACGATTTGATATTCCGTTCGTAAAATGATTTGTTACGTCGCGTTTAATTTAGTTACGATAATTCTGGCAGCATCTCCCGATAAATTAGTTAGGCGTTTTGTAAAGTACTTCCTTGATGTTATTTCTGACTTTGACAGCTGTCAGTTACTTTTTTTTTCGAAATCGCTGGATGCTGCCTACAACGTATTCACACACAACAGATATATTTTTGTATTATTATTATTTTTTAAATGAATATTTGTTAATTTTTACAAATAAAATAACAATTCCTTAGTCTTTAAATAATATTAATTGTAAATACTTAACACGTCTACTTAGNTCGGTCGGAATCTATTGATCATGACACTAATCATAAATACCTCTTTAAAATATGTCATCAAAACATATTTAGACATTCTGTTTAGATATTTCGGGAAAAAGGCTACCGACAAAATCTCTTCGGAACTATTTAAATAAAATAGTTTTATTCCGCAGTGAGTAAAACACTATTGTAAATTCGTTAAATATTTAATAATTAATTGATTTTAGAGAGGAAGTCACAAGGAATGACGTTTTTAATAATGAATAAATGTTCGGTAGGTGTTTTTTTTTTCACGCGGTCCCTTGATAAGTTTAAAATTTGAATCACTCTCACGTGAAAGTGATTCAAATGGTGCGGCGCACCTTCCTTGGGGTGCGCTGCGGTAGTGTTTTACGGACTTTAGAGTCAGCAAAACAATTAAAATAGATTGTAATAGTCTAAGAAAAACACGTACTCAAAATACGATAACATTTAGCATGCTAGAAATGGGCAGATGGCACTGTACTACGCCATATCTTTATGTTTTGCGACAAACGACAACTTTATAAAATCAGTGTAGCAACTTTTGAAAATCATCATATCGTTTACTTGGCAAATTCGAAGGACGAACTTGTCTTAGATTTCACATATCTAAATCATATCATATTTGCACATAACAATATACCTACTTACTTCCTATTAAAGTATAAATTCTACAAATAAATAATACTCAACAATATTTAAAATAAAATGAGCCAAGAACGTTTATCGATAAAACCTGATAACATTGAAATCTTTTGTACAGCACTAAAACCGCCATGTTTTGTGGTCAGATGACGTCACAGTGGCACGAATTTTTGGTTGACGTTTCATTTCCATAGGTTTCCTACTTCAGTGATATTAAGAATCAAAATACTACTGACCCCTTTGCCTACGATTTAATAAATCGATATTAATTTGACGATTAATAAGTCGATACTTCGATATGTGTTACTTAGAAGTGTCACTCTATAACCATTCATCATCAGGCCACTGACTCTGAGGTTTGCCCTAATGACGGACCCTGGGCATCACACTTAAAAGGCTGCTTTTCGAATAGTGGCGTAGATAATGATCTGGAACTATTCAACAATACCTCCGTAGAAAAGACATTTATATAATAATTTTAACAATGTTTCAATAATTACATCTGGAGATTTCTTTAATAAATGAAATTCAATTTAAAAAAAAAAGTAATACTCAGTTAACGTCATCTGTCAAATTAATTTCATAAAATTTCAGTCACAGTTCAATTTTATATTTATTTATAGTTAAATTTTTGCAATGAATTTAATCACGAAAGAAACTGGTACAAATACAACATGTCTGAGCGGATCTTCGTTTGATTATAAATGTAGAAACTGTCAAAAACACACTATACAGCACATAGATATATGCGGCAAACGCCGGGCCGATATAAATCAGAGAAAACCAATAGGATGTGGTGTTCCCGTGTCTTTAGTATCGATTTCTCCGCCTACGAACCTCGACGCCAGAATCGATTCATCGAAAATCGATTCTAGACTGAAAAAGTTTACGATTACCACGAAGATTTCCTCTCTTTACCCGGGAAACGATATTTTGTCGAGAAAATGCAAAAAGAAGAGTGTAAAATGATTTTAGTGTGGATTTTTAAATTTTTATCAATTTTAGTGTGCTTAATTCGTTAATTCATTGTAAAATTGATTATGCTATTGTTAAATAAATAAAATGTTATTTTAAAAGCAGTCTTGATGTTTATGAAAGAATACGAATTATTTTATACTTTCACGGCCTTAAACATACACAATAGCACCATAGCATTGAATGTGTTCTCACAACATTTTTCAGATAAGATTTTTTGATATTTCGGCGGGAGGAGATTGTTAGACGCGGTATCTTAAGGGACCTTCTTCTAGTCATTTTTTTTTTTGGTGTTAGTAACGAAACTCAATGACTCGTCTTAATCCACAGACACAGCCCACTAAGCTTCTCGCCAGATCTCCTCAGTGGGTCGCGTTTCCGATCTGGTGGTAGATTCTGCGAAGCACGGCTCTTGCTAGGGCCAGTGTTAGCAAATGCTTTAGTTGAGTCCGTCAGCTCACTTAATGCTGCGTGCGTGTAGCTGTAATAGTCCCTTAGGCTACCGGCGAATAGGTAAGGGAAAAAATACCGAAAAATTGTTCAAAAAACAGTAAAGCACTATATATACTCTGTCTCTTTCCAATATTTTCTTTTCCTTTCTTTGATGACGTCCGGTTCGAAGGATCATAGAGTTTATACGTGTGTAAGCCGCGCCAATAAAGAAACGAATCTAAAATGGCGGCGGCGATCATGCGCTCTCACTCTAAGCTATTGCTGTCTTTAGTCGCACACGGCGCGTTCTGCATGCAAAAAAATATCAGTTCTGGTTTTGTTGTTGAGTTCGAGTTTTTTCACGAGTTGTACGACTTAGATGACTGGCAGCAAAAGTGTCTACGCAAGTTGCATCCCAGATGAGACACCTCCCTCTCTGCCAGGGCACCAAAGTAAAGTAAAGTACTCATTTGTTTTGCACCAAGCCACGCGGAATGAGATGTCCTACTTTTCTCCCTTGGTGCACATACTATTTTTTCTCCTACCAGGTCGAAAGTTCGACATTGTAAAAAACTTAGCACCAGTGGAGTACCTACTCATAAAAAAACAATATAATTGTTTTTTAATTTTTAAATAAACTACTACTAATTGAATAAGAACTGTCTGATGAACTCATTCATCTTTGTTTAATACTTCACTATTAAATTTTATTGCCTTTTGTTTATTTCACTTTTACACTAAACACAATATTGCAAATTTCCCGAGCACAACAATGGCGGAGAATTTTAGGTGCGTGAGAGCAGACGTAGACACTAACGCGCATGCGCACTTGTCAGTACCCAGAGACCAAAAGTTAGACTAGGAAGAATAAACAACTTTTTCTTTCTATCTTTCTTTTTATCTGTTGACCCTACCATCTGTCAGTGCAGGTACATAGACGCCATTTTCGATTCGATTCTTTATTGGCGCGGCTTATAGATTTGGGTTAGCGGCTTATAAAATAACTCACTATTTTTGTTTGGTTTAGTTACCCAGTGGTGTGACGTCTTATGAGTCCGCAGGGGTAGCTACCACCGCCCTGCCTACTTTTGTCGTGAAGTAATAATGCAGTTCTAAAAGCGGGGCAGCCGTTGACTTTAAAAACGGGAGACCTTAGAACTCTTATTTTAATGTGGCATTATTTATCTACGGGCTCCAGTAACCACTTAACACCAGGTGGGCTGTGAGGTCGTCCGCCCATCTAAGCAATAAAAACAATTCTCATCTCAAATCTTCCCTATAACTAAATATTAACGGACATCTCTCTCACTCACACCTTAACGCTTCGTTCTACTCTGTCATGGCTCAGTGTGCTTAGTACGAATTTTCTAACGTTTTCGATACCAGCGTAAAAGTTAACTCAAATTTGTATGGAGTTGGAACGTTTGCCGCTAGGGGCGCTTTTATTGCTTAGATGTGTGGACGAGCTCACAGCCCACCTGGTGTTAAGTGGTTACTGGAGCCTATAGACAACTACAACGTAAATGCGCCACCCACCTCGAGATATAAGTTCTAAGGTCTCAGTATAGTTACAACGGCTACCCCACCCTTCGAACCGAAACGCATTACTGCTTCACGGCGGAAATAGGCAGGGTGGTGGCACCCACCCGTGCGGACTCCCAAGAGGTCCTACCACCAGTGATTACGCAAATTATAATTTTGCGGGTTTAATTTTTATTACACGATGTTCTTCCTTCACCGTGGAAGTCAATCGTGAACATTTGTTGAGTACGTATTTCATTAGAAAAATTGGTACCTGCGGGGTTCGAACACCGGTGCATCGCTACATTCGAATGCACCGGACGTCTTATCCTTTAGGCCACGACGACTACTCCATACAAATCTGAGTTAACTTTTACGCTATCGAGAACGTTAAAAAATTCTCACTAAGCACAGCGTTCTTACCCTATCCCACACAACACAATTGAGTCAGACCTCAAATCTCAATTTGATTGATGGCACACGAGCTGTGATCACTCTGAGCACTAGTGACCACTCCACGCGTGCCTGACTTGCCTTGAACTGTCTATACAAATAATATTTATTTAACAAATAAAACACTCGCAGATATAAAGAAATCTTTATTATTTTATCAAAGTCTTATAAGTAATTTCTCAAGTTAGATCTTAAGCCGCGACACTGTCTTGTGACTCTTCTTCTGTGAACAAACAAAATAAAACATTTAATTAGTTCATTACTATTAACATAATAATTATGCTTGCAAATATAATCGCAAGCAATCTAAATACTATTTTACCAATACAGTAAATGCCCTTATAACACGGCACGCTTATAACGCTATTACATACTACGCGATTTCAATCATCCGTATAACACGGGTACGCCCCCATATAACGCGGAGATTTCACATGTTATATTGCTGTACTGTGAAATTTTTAATGATTTGTACATGTACATAATTAATTTCGCGTACCTTTGCACATTGTGTCAATTAATTGCTATAAAATTAAATTAAATTAATTTATTAAATTCGTGTTCCTAGTTTTTAATTGTAAAAAAACATTGGTTACAATGTATTATACTAGGACATAACGCGTTATATAAGGTCATAAAGCCGCGTTATGCGAGCATCCTCATACAACGCGGAACAAAACTCGTGTTATACAGGGCATTACTGCATTTGCCAGTTTCATTAACAAATTAATTAGAATTTTTTTTTTACAAAAAACTAATAATTATAATAACTAACTAAGAACTAAATCACGCAGGGTCATTCGACTCCAAATTACGACTCTCGATGTTATGAGCACTAGAGAATAAACACTTATATACGTTCAATATATAGATAATAAGCGCCTAGACAAAAGGGCTAACAAATCTGTTCATCACACGAATGTTTGCTCGACGCGAGAATTGAACCCACGACCCTCGACGTCCCACACTCAGGACCGCTAACTATTGCACCACCGAGTCAATCAAATTATAATATACTAGCTGACCCGGCAAACATTGTTTTGCCATATATAAGATTTCCAGGGAATATCTAGTGTAGAAAAAAAACTAACTTATTGTAAGTGTGTAAGGATGTGGTAAATGAGTGAAAGAGGTATGTAGTGCTGTGAACGATGAGGGAATATATAATAAAAATAACAAAACCTCATTCAACAACATAATACCTCATTATAACAAAAAAAAATGTCCAAATAAAAAAAACATTTTGGGGAGGACAACCGTAATCATTTAGGGGTATGAAAAATAGATAGTAGCCGATTCTCAGGCTTACTGAATATGCATAAAAAATTTCATGAGAATCGGTCAAGTGGTTTCGGAGGAGTATGGGAACGAACATTGTGACACGAGAATTTTATATATTAGACTAGCTGACCCGGCAAACGTTGTGTTGCCTTAAATAAGATTTCTAGGGAAATTCTACTGAGAAAAAAAAAAACCTCACTTAACCACATAATACCTCATTATAAACAAAAAAAATATCCAAAAAATTAAAATAAAAAATAAATGTTTGGGGTAGACCACCCTTTTCACTTAGGGGTATGAAAAATAGATAGTAGCCGATTCTCAGACCTACTGAACATACTATTGATACACAAATAAAACCAATAAAACATGGCTGAAAAATGTATAGTATTGTATAGCTCTCAAATATATTAAGTGTATAATCTATGATGTATAGTGAGTAAGTAAGACAGGAGACCGGCTTCGTCCCCATCCCTACTACGTGATGTTTGCTGGATCAGTGGTGACACCTGGTGGGGATAGCTGATCGATNCGCCCCGCCTATTTCTGCCGTGAAGCAGTAATGCGTTTCGGTTTGAAGGGTGGGGCAGCCGTTGTGACTATACTGAGACCTTAGAACTATATCTCAAGGTGTGTGGCGCATTTACGTTGTAGATGTCTATGGGCTCCAGTAACCACTTAACATCAGGTGGGCTGTGAGCTCGTCCACACAGCTAAGCAATAAAAAAAATATATAAATCTACAGTGGTTTTTACGGATGTTCCGTTATAACTACTGAACCGTGCACCCGATTGACTTGAAACTTTGTATTCATGTAGAAAATACATGTACTTAATGGATATGCTAATATTTATATGAGTGTTGGACTCCCTACACCAGTTGTGGGGGCCATAATGATAAGAATCTTTGGGGGGGTGAGAAATAATAATGTTTATTTTAAATGCCCAGTAAAGCGGACGGGTACAGCTAGTACTTACTTTATAAGTATGAAACATTTACAGAAATAGCACGTATTTGTCACAAATAATATTTGTTCGACTTGGGAATTGAACCCACGACTCTCGGAGCGAGTAGGCAGCGGAACTAACCACTGCGCCACAGAATCAGTTCTTATGACTAATTGTGACAATTAACTGCGCTATTTATTCTAAAACTAATTATTACACTCTGTTAATTCAATTATATCATAATCGAAATAGAATAATTAAAAATCAACGAGAAATTATAAGGAAATGTCCTCTACAAATGTTCTTAGAATAATTAGAATCAAGAGTCATCTGTTAGCGCCCGTGAGCACCCATGAGCATCTATGAGCAATGGTGAGTATACTTCAAAAATCACTCGCACATTCGTTTCACGCAACAACAAAAAATTAAACATACAATACGACAACACAATATCTGTTATGTACGTTACACGGCCCACCTGATGGTAAGTGGAGCCGATGTCGACGCCCGAACACGTCTTACACTGAATCTATAAATAGAGAGAATAACCGTGAGTAGTTCTCATACGTTATTAAGGGTTTTGAAGTGAAACTTCTTTAGGCTTCTTAAGAATTTTTTTTTTTTTCTTTTTGTTCTTAGATGGGTGGACGAGTTCACAGCCCACCTGGTGTTAAGTGGTTACTGGAGCCCATAGATATCTACAACGTAAACGCGCCACCCACCTTGAGACCATAAGTTCTAAGATCTCAGTATAGTTACAACTGCGGCCCCGCCCTTCAAACCGAAACGCGTTACTGCTTCACGGCAGAAATGGGCAGGGTGGTGGTACCTACCCGCGCGGACTCACAAGAGGTCCTACCACCAGTCAAATATTAGCAGTATTAGCATAAAGACTGGACGTACTGACCCTGGGTAGCTTCATCAAGTTACATGCTCCACATGCTGCTTAATGAGGTTACCAGGGATGGAGTTGAATTGAGAGTTAAATTCAGTTAAATACTAACATAGTTTTTAAGTTATTTGTAACACTAACTACGAGACTATGATGACTTGAAATAAAATATTTAAAAAAATATATATATATTATACATGGTGTCCTAGAAAGAATGGATAATCCTGAAAAACCTCATAGTAGAGCTATTGGGGACAAAAAAAAAAAAAAAATCAGGTAGCACCCAAAACATGTATTTTAAAAAAATGTTGATATTTTCCATACTGTGTGCGTCAATGGAATATACAACAGCTACAAATAAATGAAATCCATAGGCTTTTTGGTGTTTTAATATTCTACATGGACTATACTAAGGAATATGCAGGAAATCCTATGAGTAGCTACTGTAATAAAAAATGAATTGCTGTTCGTTAGTCTCGCTAAAACTCGAGAACGGCTGGACCGATTTGGCTAATTTTGGTCTTGAATTATTTGTGGAAGTCCAGAGAAGGTTTAAAAGGTAGATAAATATCTGTGGCCATAGGTCAGAATATGATAAATACAATTTCATTACTTTACAGGACAAGCAATTAAATTTTTAAGAAATCTTGAAGGCACTATTAAAATATGAGACACTCGATATATGAAAAAAAAAAGTTTTTAAAACTAAGGAAATGTGTTACTAATTTGTAAAAATACGTAAAATTTTTGGTGGAATGCGTAGTATTCACGTATTGTTTTTTTTTTTAAAGAATGGTTGCACTTGTCACATTCTGATCAAAAGAAGTAGGTAGTTATCGTGTTATGATCTTAAATGAAAGACAAATATGAGAAAAATACTTTATTTAGATTTAAAATGCCAATGCAGAATATTTGGCATATAACATTGCGCTCGAAGCAGCGTTAAAAAAATAAGATAATAGTCTTAATAATAGAATAATTTCTATTCAGAATCGGAATTATAATCACTTATATGTGATGTGTCTACTACGTCGTTGTCAGACTTTATTACATTGTTATAGAAATCATGGTACACTGGATCAATGTACTGTAATAAAGATAAAATATCCTTATGTTTTTCTTTACTTATTAATAATGGCTGATTGTACGCCTTACGAACATCCATTATTGGTTGATTGCTTCGACTGGCTCTAGCTTTCCTCTTCATGTCACATATTTTAAACTCGTCTTCCACTCTCAGTGAATACTTAAAAGAAAAGAAACAAGGATGTTCTTTCTCGACACGTATCCAAAATATATTACGCCACAGAAAAGGAGCGTTATTTTGATCTTTGGTCTTCTTTATAAGCGACTGCTTTAGAATGCTGGAAAATACAAAAATGTCGTCTTGTGACAATTCTATCACAGTGAACTTACTGCTGACCATTCTCACAAGCATGTACCAGTCATTTGGAATTGAAATTCTTCCATTATATTTCTTCTTGGCACGCTCAATTGAGGCATGGTCAGCATCACACTCTAAATGTGTATGACCAGGAACTAGAAATTTATGATCTATAGTCTTCAAACCAACTTTCTGCGTAAGTATGTAGTTATATACAACAGGTAATGTGTTGTTGCGGGTCTGTCCGGGACATGTATCTGAATAAATAATAACGTGCTCTGTTTCTTCGGGTAAACTCATTATGAACATTTTTAGGCAAGATGCTATTTCGTCAGCACCACGTTGCGCGATAGCTTCATGCCACATGAAGCAAGTAGTTTTCCCAGTGTTACAATTTCTAACTGTGAAATTAAAAGTCCATAGCTTCCTTTTGTAAAATGCTACACTAGTATTTAAGTATGGTGTAGCGAGACACTGCTGTAAATCACACACAGCGACAACGATAGTATTCCCAGATGCCTTGGCGCGTTGTTTATCGAATGATTTACATTCGTAATGGAAATTCGCTTTATCCTGATGAGAGACATGTTCGTCATGTAGTGTCGTTTTCTCGGTGTCATCTATAGTAATTTTTATTTTTGCTACAAATGTATCACAAGTATGGCAAGTATCGTTATGTGGCTTTTTAAATTTTAAATTGAATGTCTTAAAAATATTACTATATGTAGAAAGGCTAACTATTTTTGTAGTTATGTTGTCCATGGTATGTTGGTCTAGGTATAAGTTATACATTTTTTGTAAATTCAAGCCAGTCTCCAGGTATTTTTTCGTAGTGTGTCGTCTTGAATAGTGGCTTTCGTATGCAGGGAAATTAGAAATATGATTACGCACATAATCAATTGCTTCACTTGAATGTTTAATTTTTGGCTCATGTCTGCCTCTTTCATCCCGTCCAATGATACCTGTAGCTGACTTTTTCTTCTTGTCAATTATGCCGTTCACAAAACCACGATTCTCACCATACACGTTAAGAAAACAGTTTTGACAAACTTTTACTAAATTACCTTCATTTTCAATAAAGTACTCTACAGATACTTCTCTTTTCTTTTTGTTTTCAACCTGTTTAACTCTAACTGGCGGTGTTAATAGTATATGGTTACTTAAATGTAAACGTTGCATATCCCTAGTTTCCATGGCGCGATAATCCGCAAAAACTCTTTGTAATTGTGCATTTGTAAATTTAGTTTTACATTTTAATCTGCATTCTTTTAGTTCACCTACAGATTTACCCAATATTTTTTTCCCAGCTTGATTTATGTATTCTTCCCCCCTTTTAATTTTTTCCGTTCTTTCTTTACGGAGTTTTCTTTGCATCATACCGACACCACGCTTCCTTTTTTTTCTCACATCATCCTGTGTTTGAGAAACCAACGCTGGGACAGCTGGGACAGCTGGGACAGCAAGGCTTCCAATACTTCTAGGGGTAGATGTCTTGCTAGATAACGATGATGACACGTGTTCATCATGTGTACCAGCAGGGAACCAATTACAATCCTGCGCATCGTCATCAGAACTATAATCTTCGCCGAGAGAAGTACGATCAGAACTATAAGCTCGATTACCTGACGGGCCGGGCAGAGATTGCAAGATATCTTGCTGAGCTACCAGAGTACCTGACGGGCCGGGCAGGGATCGCAAGATATCCTTCTGAGCTAATGGAGTACGTTCTCTCATACGTTGTTTCACAGTTAAATCCTAAAATGAATAAAAACAACGTTAGGCCTAGATGCGAGTATTTTATCTTTTGAACGATTACCTACTTAAATTAACGGTCATTATGTTTTGTTCAGAGTTCGTTTAATATAAAATATACTAGGCACAAGCAGTCATATTTTATCAATTATTACAATATTGCTCACTAAAACGCCTAGGTACTTACTCTCGCAATAAACACTTTGACGCGCTTTGAATAAAATAACAATAAAAATAATGATAAACATACCTCTGAATCTTTTTGCCTCATAGCTAACTCCAACAACTTCTTACAGCGAGCACTCATCATTTAAATAGTAATTATAACCTATATTAATGTTCCTTTACCGGCGAAATAACGAAAACTAACAATAAACTACGAAATGTGCGGTACGCGAAACCATAATGACACGACACGTTATGACATGTTTCCCTCTAACCGAGTAATTTTTGATCATAAGTTGATAAGTGTGCTTTTGTCATATTCTGATCATTAAAAAACGCGTTGTCCTTTCGGTCAGATCCAAATAAAATCACTTAACGTAATATGACTAAAACAAAAGTTGAAATATAAAAGTTATCATAATCTGATTAATATTCAATACAACAGTAATATTTTGCATGTAGTTATCCTAATATGACCAAATGAAAGAGCATTTTTTTGCGATTATACCTATATTAATAAGTCGTACTGAGCAAAAATGTACTTATCATTGTCTGATCTATGACCACAGATATGTAAATGCTCGGAATTAAATAAAAATAAAATTTTTGTTTTCCCTTTGATGTGTCCCCCGTCGGATGGATTCCTTTTGTTTGTTTTAAGTATATTTTATACAAAAGTTTAGATCTTTTATTTATCAATGGAGGCACTACGAAGTCTACCAGGTCAGCCAGTATTTTATAAAAGTTAATCTGAACTTAAATTTTAATCATAAAAAATTTGGTATTTTTAATTTGGGTACTACCTAATAAATATAATTTTTTATTTTGAGTCCCCAATAGCTCTACTGTGAGGTGTTTCAGGATTATCCATTCTTTGTGGAACACCCTGTATGTAGAATAGGAATCGCAGCGCATAAAATAAAACTTCCGCTGTTCCAAAATCTTCTGTTATAATAATAATTTAAAAATTAATTAACACTTTTGTTACGCCCTGCTCATTTACAATCGTGTCCGTCATCTTCCTTTTCTCTGTCATTCTCTTCTCCCTTTTTTTCAGTTTTCTCTCATTCACATCTTAACGCTCCATTCCACACAATTTTCATACGTTCCGTTCTTACCAATCCTACATGTATATTAGGTAATGAGTAGTGGTAGATTGATTTTATATATAATACTTGCGTTAAGATAATATAATATGGACATGCCATTTTATCCATAATGTGCGCGAAGTACGTTATATCATTTTAGGTAAATATCAGCGTAGATTGATAATATTAATACGTTTTTCACATTGAACACAGATACATGCTAATTTCCAAATTCCAGTACAGTTATCACAATAAATATGAAATTCCGGTATTTCGGATGCATATCCATATTATCCTCTACGTTTGACGTAAACGATTTTAAATCAATCTACCTACTCCGACCTGTGGTAATGAGTTACCTTTGTCGTCCGTGTCCATGGGCTCCGGGGAGTCATTGTAGGCGGGCGCCAGCGGGGAGACCACCACGCCGTCCCACACCGTGATCTCCAGGGATATGTCCTTGCCGCCCTCGAACGGCTGCAAGCCCAGGACGTACAGGTGACCCCCGCGCGCCACCACGCGCAGCAACCTGGACCGCATCAGACAAACCACGGATGTATTCAGTAAACTCATCTATATTAATCTATACTAATATATAAATCTCCAGTGGTTTTTACGGATGTTCCGTTATAACTACTGAACCGTGCATCCGATTGACTTGAAACTTGGTGTTCATGTAGACAATACATGTACTTAATGGATAGGCTAATATTTATACGAGTGTTTGACTCCCTAATAATAATGACAATAAATATTAATGTTCATTTTAAATGTCCAGCGAGGTGGGCGAGTATGGCTAGTAGTATATATTTTTTTCTCGTAGTTATTATAATACAATGAACTGCTTGTTATTATCTGCTGCTGATATTTAGCTTGTTCGTACCCAATAAATAAAATAAAACAAATATGGCGTTATCATCACCGCGGAGTATCTTCAACGAACTGTGTGCTTAGTGCAAGTTTTTTAAAGTTCTCGATAGCCTAAAATACATAATTATTTCATTGCGCCGCGTAGGGCACCGGTGACCTACACGGCAGTCAAAGGGTTAACTTTTACGGTATCGTTAATCGAGAGCGTTAACTCACTACGGTATCGATAACGTTAACTGGTTGTGTACTCACGTCTGCGCGGTGGCGGCGGCGAGGTCCTGCGCGGCGAGGTCGAGCGCAGTGTGTGCACGGGAGTGCGCCGCCTCGCACGGGTCCGGCAGCCCCGCGCAGCCCGGGAGGAACAACCCGCCCGCCATCAGGGACAACGCGCGGCTGGACACAGACACGACAACTACACTCAACCCACCGTCCTTCTAAATTATTGAAGTGAAACTTCTCATGCGACTTCCAACAAGGTCGCATTAAACGTTTAACGCTTCTGAGGAGGGGGAATCGAAAGAAACAGAGCGCAACTCTCCACAGTTATTGAAGTGAAACTTCGCATGCGACTTCCAACATGGTTGCATCAAACATGTAACGCTCCTGAGGAGGGGGAATAGAAAGAGACAGAGCGCAACTCTCCACAATTATTGAAGTGAAACTTCTCATGCGACTTCCAACAAGGTTGCATTAAGACACAGCCCACGAGTTTCTCGCCGGATCTTCTCAGTGGGTCGCGTCTCCGATCCGGTGGTAGATTCTGCGAAGGACTGCTCTTGCTAGGGTTCGTGTTAGCAGCACTCCCAGTTTGAGCCCCGTGAGCTTACCTACTCGCCCGGTTGCGCTGACATAGCTTCTCAAGGCTATCAGTTTAGGCAAAAAAAAGTGTGCAATTCACACGTGGTAGAAGTGAAACCTTCAAAATTTAAAATACAATTATCCTAAATGTCTAAGTATATGTAAAATTTTGTCATTTGTAATTGTCAATTGTAAATCATTTTTTAAAGTATGAGGTAGCGCCCTCTGTGAATTGATATTTTAACTTCATAATATAATGTATTCTATCTCATTCTCTCGCCGGCTGAATCCTATACATTTATGTGTTTGTGTCTCTATGGACTTATTTTTTCGCTTCATCGACTTTGAAATCACAACGATTCTAAAGAAGTTTCACTTCAAAAAACTAGCCAATCCCCCAGTAGTTGATTATCGACCATAATTAATTTAAACATGAGCTCACCGGAATGCCACGTTGATGGGTAAGGCCTGACGCTGAGGGTTGTTCATGATGCAGTGGTGCGCGAGCAGATCTATCATCCACGGCGTCAGGGGTTCGAGTCCGGAGTGCCGAGAGCACATGTCCCGGAGAAGACGGATCAATACCTGAAAGAATAGTGGACATAATTTCATTAGAGAGCACAAAGTTTATGAGGTGGTTACAACCTGGTAATGTTGTTCTGTGAGTAATAGCAAGTTAAATACCAATCACATGGTATAGTAACACACACAAAACAAACACATAAGCATAATTTAGTGTGTGTGTATGTGGTGTGTGTGTGTGGTGTGTGTGTGTGGTGTGTGTGTGTGTGGTGTGTGTGTGTGTGTGTGGTGTGTGTGTGTGTGNCCACCTGATGGTGAGTGGTTACCGTCGCCCATGGACTTCAGCAATGCCAGGGGCAGAGCCAAGCCGCTGCCTATCGCTTAATACTCTCCACAAGCCTCTTTTAAAGAAGGACATGTCATAGCGCTCGGGAAACACCGTGGAGGGGAGCTCATTCCATAGCCGGATGGTACGTGGCAGAAAAGACCTCTGGAAACGCACTGTCGATGCCCGCAGTGGTTCCAGGTAGTATGGATGAACTCTACTCCGGTGGCGGGCGGTGCGATGGTAAAAACGAGATGCCGGTATCATCTCGAACAATTCCTCAGAGCACTCCCCATGGAACATTCGGTACAAAATACAGAGGGAACCGAAGTCCCTCCGCAGACCCAAAGGTGCTTTTGACAGTATTTATGAAAAAAATACTGGTGATGCCAAATGAACCCGCATATTAACTTAATCTTCTATATATATAAAAATTAATTGCTGTTCGTTAGTTTCGCTAAAACTCGAGAACGGCTAGACCAATTTAGCTAATTTTGGACTTGAATTATTTGAAGTCCAGGGAAGGTTTAAAAGGTAGATAAATATGAAAATGCTCGCATTTAAATAAAAATAACAATTTTGTTTTTCCTTTGATGTCCCCCCCGTCGGATGTATTCCTTTTGTTTGTTTTAAGTTTATTTTATACAAAAGTTTAGGCCTTTTATTTATCGATTGAGGCACTACGAAGTCTGCCGGGTCAGCTAGTTTCGAATATTTTTGGAAATTGTACACTTTTAATGCGAAAATACGGTATGTATATAATTCATGATAACTCACTTTAATTGATGAATGATGGGCGTTCTCTTCAAACCAGCGACTGTGTCTTATCGCTGCTAGATGACTGCTTATCACTTTATAGTCTAGATGTACCTACAGATAAATAATTATAATAATATGGGTACAAATTACTCATAGTCATCTGGAGTCTGAAGTCGTCGTGGCCTAAAGGATAAGACGTCCGGTGCATTCGTATCTAGCGATGCTACGGTGTTCCAATCCCGCAGGTGGGTACCTCTTTTTCTAATTTAATACGTACTCAATAAATGTTCACGATTGACTTCCACAACGAAGGTATAATCGTGTTATAAAAATGAAACCCACAAAATTATAATACAGGTAGGTACCACCACGCTGCCTATTCCTGCCATGAAGCATTAATGCCTTTCGGTTTGAAGGGTGGGGCAGCCGTTGTAACTATACTTGGGACCTTGGAACTTGTATCTCAGGGTGGGTGGCGCATTTACGTCATAATGTTTATGGGCTCCAGTAATCACTTAACACCAGGTAGGCTGTGAGCTCGTCTACTCATCTAAGCAATAAAAAAAACAAAAAAAACTACTACTACTGTACTAATTACTCATGATCGTCTGACCCCAAATTAAAATTCACTGTATTGTGGGTGCCAGATTGACAAGCATACTCATATACAAATATACAGTCAATGAGCTAACAAGCTTATTCTCACACGAATGTTTGCCCAATGTGGGAATCAAACCCACGACCCTGGGCCTAACAATCAGGGCTGCTAACTTCACAACCAAGTTGATCATAACACAGAATAAATGAGTATGGATATTCATGAATGCTTATTGATGCTCAGTATTAATTTACAGATAGCACAGATATATTATATTTAAACATTAAAAAGATGAAAGTATATGAATAATAATAAAAAATATATAAATTAATTTGTTTTCCATGCTTCTCTTAAAACCTCACTTAAAATAAATTTATGTTCCGTGATCCACACCGAGCTGTAGACCAACCACATATATTTTGAATTCTATTGAACATTAATTTCCCTCTTTTTATTTTTATTGTTGATTGTTTTTTTGTATGTTTTTATATGCAGTTTTTTCTTTTTTTCTTTTTGTTTTCTTTGTCTTAATTTTAATATTAGTTAACGATATTTTTATCTAACGCTCTTAAGCAAGATGTGTTCACACCCAGAAAGGGTGAATTCTATAATGTATTAAGTTTCTATAATCTATTATAAGTTAGTTAGTTATCTAGTATAAGTATCTATTATAAGTATTCTATAATCTATTATAAGTTCAATGTTTATGTGTGCAGATTTTATCTAGTTGTGTGAAGAGATAAGGTTGACAGGGACTAAGTACAGAACTCGGCTGGGAAACCACCCAAATACCCTAGCTAATCCATTGACAAAAGTCAGTTACATCAAATGACTGAAACGTCATGATATACAGGGAGTTGATGACATATGGTGTTCAATGAGGAGTCTCCTGGTGGGGAGCCTCTTCGACGCGATGGCACACGCAACGCATCGGCTCACAGTCCAGGGCTGATCGCAGATAGGCACAAAAAAAAAAGTTGTGTGAACCTAATAAAAAAATAAAAAAAAATAAACAAATACTAACATCAGGCTCTATCTTCCTTAAGTTCTGATGCAGTGTTGTGATGAGGACCCTGACGGCTGCGGAGGTCCCGGTGACAGTGAAGCCGCGCTCGTGACACGCGCTCACCACTGCACCGCTGCCTTCAGCCTTCATCAGCTTGTTCACCTCCTCGTTAACCTGAATTAAACCAACTACTTCAATCTGCTTTTACATTGCCATCGCACACAGAAGATCCACTTAATGGTGAGCGGTTACTGTGGCTTATGGAGTTCAACAATGCCACCAGCACATCCAAGCATTACTTAATAATGAGTTACTGTCATTTTAAGGGATTTTATCACCTAGTAACTAAGACCTTTAAGTCATGTCTTATTTTAATTTATATTCATATTTTTATGAAAAATGATATCATGGAGTGAAATGAAATGAAGATGATTAATTTGAGACCTTAATCAACTGGGATGAAATTAAATGAAATGAGATGAGATAATATAGGATGACATATATAATCTCAGTAAAATGGTGGTAATTTACTAAGATTTTTTCAGTGGACTTTTTGGAGGATCCCGAAAAGTTACGTCCAGCGGCTTTGTTTTATTTTCCAACATTTGTGCACTTTTACAGATATTAAACAGTTAATAAACCACCGTTATTACGCATTTAAACCTGAAGAAACACTAAATAGACAAAATAAAACAAATCACACAACTTGACTCCTCGCGTTCTAGCCAAAAAGTTGTGAGTTACTGCCGGAAGACGTTTTAACCTTTTTTAGTTGCTCAGAGTACATTTCATAATTAGTTATTTTGCTTCAATTAAACCTCATGTTTAAGGTTACGAAATCAAACAGACACTCTGAAAGTTCTTACCCTTCCTGAGATATAAGGACAATGACAATTGTATATATTGGTATATCGTATTGAAGGACATATTTATGGTAGTCTAAGCCTTCGGTACCTATTCTATAAACATATATACACACAAAAGTGTACCTTATTAGAGAGTCCCTCGACAGCCTCTTTCGTTGGCAAAGTTTTCATGATGACTACGATATCAGCAACGTTCTTCCCGGCCATCATTGTCCCCTTCTTGTAGGACCCAACTTGCCGCACTTCTTCTAGTTGCTGCTAACCAATACATGTTTATATGATTTATCACAATTAAGATTTCTACAAACAATAATATAAAATGATAACAAAAAAACGAAACATATAATACACAAAATCACAGTCCAGTCTTATCGCTAAGAGCAATCAATTCACATAGACAAAGAAAGGATTAGGCACCAAATCAAATCAAAAAATTTTTATTCAACATAAATGAAAGTACATACTTGTTGAACGTCAAAAGAACTACCGCCAATTCACAAGAACTAGCCTCCGTCCTGAGAAGAATTAGCAAGAAACTCAGCGGACATGTCTTTTTTTTTTTTAATGTTTTTTTTTTTTTAAATATTAGTTTTTTTTTTTTTTAACCGTTCTATTATCACCAGTGAAACTAGCCTGTTTTCGTTTGTGTAATAAAATATATTGAAGAGTGAAAGGATATTTCGTATAAGAGACATTTTTGTAACTTAATAGGAGAGCCATTTGAAGTACACAGTTTTGAGAAAAAATATCATAACATAAAAACTACTTCAGCTATTTCAGTGGAGTAAACTTATTGAAGTTCATTTAAAAATATCGAACTGTTGATGCTAATATCAAATAAAATTCACCTTTAATTACAAAGATAATTGTTGTGGATTTAGTTAAATATGGTTTAATCCCTTAATATGTATTTATTCTTTATACCTATACTACACTATATGCAATAGAGCAATTACTTTGTAGCAATTTTTATCAAAATTACTGCACTTGATCTATTAAAACCTTTATTAGATGGCTGCAGCTCGAAAACTAGTATCGGGCCTAGGGACCGCGCACTCGACAAAGAGTTTGACCTGTAACCTAGTCCATAGCAGCCCACAGTTTCTCAAAGGATCTTCTCAGCGGGTTGCGATTTCAATCTAAGGGTACAGTTAGCAAAGCAGTACTCCTGCTAGGGCTGCTTGCTAGTTTTTTTTTTTTTTTTTGGCTTTTTAGGCAGACGAGCATACGGCCCACCTGACGGTAAGTGTTCACCGTCGTCAGCAATGCCAGAGACAGAGCCAAGCCGCTGCCTACCATTAAATACTCTCCGCAAGCCTCGTTTGAAGAAGGACATGTATCATAGCGCTCTTAGCAAATACTCTCCTGTTGAGTCCGTGAGGTCACCTATGCGTCCGGCGGTAGATGGAATAGTCCCTTAGGATACCAGCAAATAGGGGAAAAAAATAAATCTAAATAGTTACTTATTTACATTAAAGTTCATTGAAAACGGAGAATTATGATGGGTTCCAATTGCCTGTTAATGTATAGTAAAATAATTTCTATAACATACGCAGGCTGCAAATTCTCCTGGAGCCACAACAATATTGTCCAATACTGTCTGCAGTTTCGTGACGAGGCTCAAAACAGCTGCTTGATCGGTAGGTGACGGACATAGCTCCGTGTGCCTCTTTAGAAGGGCCTGAAATGAAAATAAGGTGTAATTAATTAGATAAAAAAATAACTATTCTTGTTACACTACTTTCAATTTTTTGAATTTAATGTCATAGTTTTTGAAAGATAAGGCTTTGAATGGTAAATAAATTGTAATGTAGTGCATTGGTGAGGGTACTTACTTATTCAATTTTTAAATAAAAGTATTAATAAGCATATGCTCTATTTTTTTCCCTTTTTTTACTATTTTTAATATTGCTCAAATGTGTTTGTGTGTTACACAACAAAGATAAGACATTTAAAGTTTATTTCATTCATTACGTATAGCTCCATAATTTTAAATAGAAATCAATTTCACTACTAACTAATGCCATATTTTTCCTTTGTTGTCAGTGCTACTTTATTAACAATCCACATTACCCACGAAAACATTTTCCAACAACGAAGGGCCAAATTAAAATACGCTTATGCTTACAAATGTATTATACCTATATATGGATTAGGGATCCACAGTATGTGGACTGACGCGCAGCGTTGCCAACTCTACCAACTTTTCAGTAGATCTACCAACTTTTAGTGTCGTAATCAAACCTACCACTTAATCTACCAACTTTTGAAGTTATCAAAAAGTTCAAATCAAACCTCCATGAAAATAATATTGAAACTATATATATTTTTTTATTTTTCATAATCTCTCTATTGCTTTTTTACCCTTTGATGGATTCATCGAATTTACTCGAAAATAGAGGGCGTTACAGGTTAATGTACAGGTCATATCATGGTGGCTTAATAAAAATAAAAAAAACAAACATCATGGCGGTGTTAGATCTAAAAACTCTTTCTACATACGATTTCTACATATCTGTGTTTACACTCTATATCTAATGTGATTCAATTAACAAATAACTGACTGTAATTTTTAAAACGTTTCAATTGAACACTATCAAAATGAGTGAAAGTGACAGTGAAAACAAAGAAAATTCTCCTATTTGAAAATTAAAAAATATGCATTACCATCAAAGTATTCTCAACTATGGGAAAAAGAAGAATATTAGCGGCCTGTAATTCTGTTTTATCATTGGATTTCTAATAAAAATAGTTCAAATATGTCTTCTTATCCAATCAAAAAGTAAATTAAGGATGCCAGATTCTTATTGGAGGGTCTCTAAAAGACTTGAAAAGTTGGTAGATCTACCACCTTGGTATAGTAGGGTTTGTTGGAAACTACCAACTTTTAGAACCCTATCTCCCACCTTGACGAATTTCGAGTTGGCAACGCTGCTGACGCGTCTCATGATTGGCGACATTTTCATTACAATGTGTATGAGCTTCAGTAGCCACTTAAAATCAGCTCCGCCTTCTATGTAGTATACATAAAGTGTTGATGGTCGTCAACAGCGTTTACGGAACGAACCAATATATTGGTGTTTAAATGGTTTCAAAATAAATGTTTTTTGTGTTACAAATTACAAAAGAACGAAAGACTTTTCTAGAATGGTCTGACATGGTTCGACCCGGAATGTTGTTACTTGTTACCTGAGTGAGCACGGAGTCGTCGGGTGCCGGTTTGCATCTAGGAAAAGCGGGTTCTGCTAGTAAAAGGTCGAAGGGCGGACGAAGCATCAAGACTCGGGGTCTGTTGAAGGGTGGACGCCCCATCCCGCCCCGGCCGGGGATACCGCGTCCACCACGACCGATGCCGCGCACCATTTCAGGAAAAACAATTTATTTTAGGTTAACGTTTTCACTTTGTTTTGCACTTGGAATGTTAATGACATAGAAGTTGTGTTTTCACTAATTTTTCTTTGATTATTTTTACGCGCGAGCTTATATAGTGTTCGAATCATAGATTATACACTTAATGTTCGAATTGTATTAATCGGACACTTTCTGCGGTCTCAATCGGTCAAATCATAACAAATTTCCAATATGGCAGATTTGTCAGATTTGTCAGATTTTTGTAGGTTAAAATTTTCTTCTTTTCCGCTTGTTCACTGTTAAATGCAAAGGGAACATGAGAGCATAGTATGTACGTCAATTATATAAAATGAAATGAAATTTTATTTCAAATCTTATGTAATAAAATACACCCGCATACTATCAGTAAGGAATAAAGTAATGTTCAAAATTTGAACACAAATCAATTGTCGATACTAATAGTCTACTTTTACAAATTTTACCTAATGTCAGGATTAACAGGAAAAAATTAAATTCATTGTTCAGCTTGCAAGCCGTGTTTTTTGGTTTTTAAACTGAATTCTTAATACGTCATATTATCAACGGGAAGCTGTGGCATATGTCCAAAATCCTGAGACTCCTGTCAGTTGTCAGACACTGTCAATCAGTTGGTTTTTTGACAATGAAACAAAAATGACGTGGAGTTCTAGGTTATAAGTTTGTTTAATAGTATTTAAAATAATATCAGGTCAATTAAACAGCCTGAATTAATTAAGCAGTGACGTGAAAGTTTATTATTAAATATGCTTGAGATAACGGATACACAGAGTGAGTTTTATGAAAAATATTTTGATATTTTAATATCGATTTTAGCACTAAGAAAAAATCTAAATCATAATAGATCCTTTTTTTAAAATCCTGTATTTACTTTGCTGTATTATGTTCCCAATAAATTTCCTGATAGGGTTGGTTAGATTTTCGAATAAATAAATTCTACATCCTAATTTACTTTATTGTATTTTGAAAAATTATTAATGTCATCTGATATAATATTCATTTACGAGCAGTTTTATCAATTATGTTTGTCAGAAGGTGATTTTTGTTAAATTATTTGTCTATAGATAATTTTGAATCAGAAGCAGATAAAGAAAATTTTGATTATTTAAATAATGACAGAGCATTTTTTTTTCTATAATATTTTTTTTATATTATTTTTCTGGTTGACTGCACAGATATAATAATTTTTCTGGAAAAATATTTATAAATTCATACTTTTTTCTTTTCCCCTTTGTCTCATTTTAATCTCATAGAAAGATGATTGTGAAATCTCATGATCTTCTGAGTAGTTAAGAAACTTTCACATGTTACTATAATAGATTCCATACTGATATGAAAGCAATTTTTTGTTTTTTTCGTATGCAGATGAGTATACGGCCCACCCAATGGTCAGTGGTAACCGTCGCTCATGGGTGTCAGCAATGCCAGGGGCACAACCGAGTCTCTGCCTACCAATCATATCAATATCATAAATGAACAAGAAATCGGTTTTCACCACCAACATTTTTTTGTATTACTTACTCCTATTTAAATATATATAAAATATATTTTTTCCCTACCTATTCTAGTAACCTCGAGGGGGTTATACTAGATTCACAGAGCGAGTATGTGAGATCACGGGGTTCTAACCTGACAATGTTGCTAACATTAGCCCTAGTAGGAGCAGTGCTTCACAGCCTAAATAATAAATAAGATGTCATTCTATGAGCTAGATCCAGTGCCTCAGGTACTCTTAAGTTGAAGAGACTTTTCAACCAGATCTCAGGAAGTGACTTAGTGGGACCACCGCATTTATCTGAATAGTCTTATTGTGTCCATTAATGTGTTCCATTAGATAATAAATGTATATAATAGCCGGCAAACTTCTTGAGCATTTGTTGACGTAGTGGGGGTAAGTTTGCGCATGGTACACTCACGTGCAAAAACATTACGCTGCGTCATAATGCAATTAAATTATTAAAATCAACATATGTATTTATTAGAACATCAACAAAAAATATAGGTTAATAATTGTAATAATTTAATCTTGGGGTAAAATAGATATTCCTTATTAAGTCAAAACTAGAGCTGTTGCCAGGTGTTGGTTCAGTTGAAGCGAAGCTGCTATTTGTAATTTTTTTTCGTTATCATAATCTTGACCATCATCATCATCACTGTTTTAATCACCAGAGTCGCCATCATCGTGATGAGTCGACATAGGGCTCATCGGTGTAGTTTATAACTCGGTCGGTTCGATCTTTTGTCTATAGATAATTAATTATTTTTTGAAGATATTCGATTCGTAGTAATCGAATGTTACTTTTTTTAATTACCAGCTTCTGATTATTTTCTGTTTTTTTTCCATCTGAAGCCTAGCTCTTTCATAATTCGTCGTAAACTTCATTCCGAGCCATTAAAATGTATATCTTCTTTAAAATTTTCGAAGCCTTTCTACGGTACGGAGTTGCGCTACTTGCTATGTAGTTATTATGATTACATCTTTTTATTACAGATTGAACGAAACTATCCATTTCGGTAACTTTCTTCTTCCCTGATCTTTTCTTACCCGGAGTCCCAAACACGGCGAGCAAGCCAGAGCTTTTAGCTTCGTTAATAATGGACGTAACAGTACTCACTGATGTTTTTGTTGCTTCCGAAGTCTGTTTTATGTTTTCCATATCATTTTTCCCTTGTTTTATAATGAAGAAATATACGTTGTACACGATTTTTCTACCCTTTCTTTTGAATACTACACCAGTTTGTCGCGACATAGTGTATTTTTTATAAAAAATCAATAAACACTCAACAAATAGCAATGGCAACAAAGTCAACAAGCAATTATAACAAATAACTTAACGATTAATAACGATAGACTTTTCACTGTACGCAAGCGGAACGAGGGCGCGGTGCGGGGCGCAAGGTTCGACTGATCTACCAATAACGCGCTCGATACGATTTCCCCTGCCCTCGCGTCTCACCCTCACCACCAAAGTGATCTAAAATTCGGTTCTGCGCAGTCAAGGTCATTTGCCCAAGATGTTTGCCGGTTATTATACCTAATGACAAATATTTATCAAAGTGACCATGACATTGTCTTCACAACACTTGTCAGATGGATTTTGTGCATATCTGATTTTAATTTACAGAGATTGGCGTAGGCCTAGCTGGTTTCGGAATGACATTTCTATTCCTCGGAGTACTTCTGTTGTTCGATAAAGGTCTCCTAGCCATTGGCAATGTAAGTAAAACCTTGTATGTGACGGGCATGTGAGTGGCCAGTATTTCTCCGCCAAATAGATTTATGACTCTAAATCAAGTTCAACATGTGTCAAATGACAGGTAAAATCTCGTTTCATAGCTAGAATAGGGGATGAGATGTCTCAAAGGAGGTGGTAGTATTCATGTTATACTATCTATGAGTTCTATATACACTTAAAAACTGGTGAGCTAGATGCTCATCAACTAATGTACTGGAACAAAATTATAATAATAGGTCTGGTACCGATATACCACCAAAGGTCTCGGGCCTTTGGACCGAAGCCGCTAGTCCGCTTGAACGTGTTGGCATATCAAACAGCTTCTATTGTCTCTGCGATTGGTAATGTGGTTGTGTATTTTGTCTTTTTTTTTTACAACGTAAATGTGCCACTCACCTTGAGATATAAGTTCTAAGGTCTCAAGTATAGTTACAACGGCTGCCCCACCCTTCAAACCGAAACACATTACTGCTTCACGGCAGAAATAGTCAGGGTGGTGGTACCCACCCGCACGGACTCACAAGAGGTCCTACCACCAGTCTTATTGCAATGAATTGATTAGTTATTATTTCGTCTTTCTCGTTTCAACATAATTGAATGAGAGGCCTAATTTTACTTTTTAATTAACTTTGCTTTAGGATATATTTTTTTTCCAAAATACTGGCAGAAACAGTAGGCTTAGTGCGAGTTTCAAAAATCGAATCGAATGACTCGCATCGAGTGTACGCTCTTCACGGTGAAACGTGCGGAGCTCTGAGTGCGAGCTACTCGATTTGCAGGACGTTTATTCATCTTGAGAAGCAATAATTTTTTCTTTTATATTGGTAGCACGCAAGGTCTTTTTAAAGGCGTTTAATTGAAATGCCAAGCTTACTAACGATATTTATAATTAGTCGGGTAATGGGTAATGTACCTGTGCTTAGTGCGAGTTTTTTTAATTACTCAGTCGATGTTAATGTTATGTTTAATTTGTGTGAGGTTGTATCAGTGCCACCTAGTGGTAAGCTTATGAATCTCATTTTGTGGGAGAGAGAAGGTTTGTTTAAGTTGCTGTCTCATGTATCGAATAGCTTTACCGAAGTGAGCCTCTCGGTTATTGTATGCGCGAGTGCGAGTTACAAATTAATGGATTTTGAGAGTATTTCTTCACTTTCAAGCAAGTTAAGTAGTCACTAAAAATTTTGCCGTGAAACCAATACAATATCAAGATTTTTTTCTTTCGTTTGTAATAATAATGTTGTTTTTTAAGGTTTTATCTATTCTAATGGTTTATACACATATTTTTTCGGTTAGAAAATTTTTAGACGTCTAGCTAGTTGTAAATACATATTAATTATTTGCTTTTTCATTATATTCTTATTAAATCATTGCTTTTTTTAAAGAGTTGTTTGATGAGAGAGAGAGAGAGAGAGAGATAGAGTATTCTTTATTGTACACAAAATGAATAAATATTGCGAAACAATATTAACAATAAAAAAAAGAGTACAATTCTTGGTCTTATCGCTAAGAGTGATCTCTTCCAGACAACTATTAGATGGACAAGAATAATTTCGAAATGAATTGCACACTGTGTACCTAGCTATTGAAATATATACACACACACACACACACACACACACGCACGCGCGCACACACACTCACACACACCCATACACATATTTACACATACATACATACATATATATATTTATAAATTATATAGAAATTTGAACACTGTTATAATAATTTTGCTTTTTTACACATTTATAAATAAGGATGGATGCTCGTAATAATTTTAGTATATTTGGGCCACCTAATGAAGATCATCAACACTATTACCGTAAATACCATCATTTTATAAATGTTCAACGGGTAAATGATTAAACCTACATAAAACATAATTTCTTTAATAAAAAAAAAGCTGTAATAATTACCTATCCCAAGATTAATTATGTTAAGTATGTCTAAATATGTAATTACAATTAAATAAATTCTATAATAAACTTCTAATTCTAATACTTCTAAAAGTTACTAAAAAATATGTTTATGCTGGGCAGTTTTCGTGTATTTTAAAGGTTACGACATTACGGCAGAGTTTGTTTACGAAATAGCACCCTTAGAATGGAAGTGGTATAACTAAAAAATGTAAGATTAGTTTTATATTTCAAAACACTTATGAATTATTATTAAGAACCTACATTTTAAGTAATACGTGAAGCAAAAATGTTGTACCCCTTTTTACGAAAATTGCGCGGACGGAGAAGTATGAAATTTCCCAACTTATAGAGAATATAGAGAAGTAGTGCCGATTGCTAATATTTTTTTTTAATTATGCATAAACAATAAAAACATAAACTAAATCAATTAAAAACCTTACACACATTACCATGTATTTGACACACACACACATGCATTTATACTTTTTTCTTTATTGATTTATCAATCTGTGGTCAAATTGAGAATAGATTGATATTTTTTGTCTTTAATATTATTTTCTATAATGTAGCCTTGACATAGAGCAATGATTATTATAGAACTGATGATAATAGAAAGGTGACAATAGAACTATAATAATGTTCAAACTTAAAATTTAAATAAATTATGGTCTAATTTCGACCACTGGACTACCATTAGCAGATAATAATAAACATTACATAAAATATTACAATATTGAAGTTTACCAGAAAATAAGAAAAATAAGAATTTTGGGTTGAGCCACTTTCATTCTAAAGGTACAAAATAGTATTGAACACGTGACATTACCCGAATAATTTTGAAAGTGGTTGGTTCCCATTAAAATACTGTTAAAATACGTTGTATTTCATTTAGACGGTCTAAAGCTAAAACACCACGTGCTACCAATATACGAGAAATAATATTATTGCTGCTCTCGGTGAATAAACGTCCTGCGAATCGAGTAGCATATCTCAACTCACACTCACAATTCTTCATTTTTCACCGTATAGAACGTTAACTCGATTTGATTTTGATTTATTCATTTACAATTAAACAACTAGGAAAAAAAGATGAAAAGACAGTTTGGAGGGACCGCGAGGAGCTAAATTGTGTGAATTGTTTTAATTTGCCTATTTAATGTTTCTTAGTTAATGCGTACTTAATATTTCTTCGGGTATAGGTGTAATTTTGAGATCGTCCTCGCCTAAAGGTTAAGGCGTCCGGTGTATTCGTATCTTGCGATGCACCGGTTCTCTAATGCCACCGGCGGGTATCAATTTTTCTAATGAAATACGTACTTATCAAATGTTTACGATTGACTTTCACTGTAAAGGAATAGCATCATGTAATAATAATCAAACCCGCAAAATTAATTTGCGTAATTAATGGTGGTAGGAAGTCTTGTGATTCCGCACGGGTAGGTACACCACCCTGCCTATTTTTGCCGTGAAGCAGTAATTTCGGTTTGAAGGGTGGGACAACCGTTGTAACTATACTGAGACCTTAGAACTAGTATCTCAAGGTGGGAGGTGGCATTTGCGTTGTCGATGTCTATGGGCTCCGGTAACCACTTAAGATTAGGTAGGCCGAGAGCTCGTCTACCCATCTATGCAATAAAAAAATAACGTTGGTTTATTAACTGTTTAGTATCTGTGAAAGTGCAAAAATGTAAAAAAATTAAACAAAACCGCTGGACGTAGCTTAAGTCTTCGAAAAAGTCCACTGAAAAAAATCTCAGTAAATAATCAGCATTTTACTGAGATTATATTTTATCCCATATTATCTGATCTCATTTCATTTCATTCCATGCCAATTGATTAATGTTTCAAATTAATCAAATCCATTTCACTCCATATTATCATTTTTCATAAAAAAGAATAGGCTCTCTGGCATGATACTTTTGCCTCTCTAGTTGGAAAAATAGAACTACTAAAGAAATACTCGATCGAAACGTTAAAATCCACTAATTTATAACACGCACTCGCACAAATGTCATTCGTGGTACTCATTTCGGTAAAATTACTCGGTTACGAGATCACAACGTTAATATGAACTCGCACTCACAAAATAACACCGGGTACGTTTGCCGCTAGGGGCGCTGTTCCAATTGCATACAAATTTGAGCAAACTGGCTCGCTATCGAGAACGTTACAAAACTCGCACTAAGCACACTGAANAACACGCACTCGCACAAATGTCATTCGTGGTACTCATTTCGGTAAAATTACTCGGTTACGAGATCACAACGTTAATATGAACTCGCACTCACAAAATAACACCGGGTACGTTTGCCGCTAGGGGCGCTGTTCCAATTGCATACAAATTTGAGCAAACTGGCTCGCTATCGAGAACGTTACAAAACTCGCACTAAGCACACTGAAGAGAATACTAAATGTTCTTCCCCGACCCTTCTATTGGGTTATCCGTAACTGATTGAAAAACAATTCAATTTAAAGCAGTACAAACTTATTTATTCTCTTCAACTACCTACACAGCAAGAACACTCAATTACAATTTTTTTTAAGCGATTTTATAACCTGGTAACTAAGACCTTTAAGTCATGTCTTATTTTAATTTATATTTATATTCTTATTTTTATGAAAAATGACGAAATGAAATGAAGGTGATAAGTTTGAGACATTAATCAACTGGGATGAAATTAAATGAAATGAGATGAGATGATATGGGATGAAATATAATCCCAGTAAAATAGTGGTAATTTTCTGAGACTTTTTCATTGGACTTTTTGGAGGATCCCGAGAGGTGACGTCCAGCGGCTTTGTTTCATTTTCCCACATTTGTGCACTTTCACAGATATTAAACAGTTAATAAACCACCGTTATTACACATTTAAACCTGAAGAAACACTAAATAGACAAAATAAAACAAATCACACAACTTCGCCCCTAGCGTTCCCGCCAAAAAGTCTTCACTCAATTACAAGACATTCACTAAAGTGCTGCCACCTAATGTCTATATAGTTTAATTATCATTTTATATTTCGAATGCGTTCAACTCCAGATCCTGTTCATAAGTGGTCTGACATGTGTGATCGGCATCCAGAGGACGTTTTTCTTCTTCTTCCAACGGCACAAGCTGAAGGCGTCCGTCGCCTTCTTCAGTGGGATCACTATAGTACTGCTCGGCTGGCCCATGATCGGGATGATAGCCGAGATGTACGGCTTCTTGCTGTTGTTCAGGTTGGTTGCTGGATTTTGCTACATCTATGTGCTTAGTGTGAGTTTTTTAACGTTCTCGATAGCGTAAAAGTTAACAAAAAGGACATGGGCCATCTTCGGCCCAGCTACTCGTGCTCTCAAGGATATTAATGGAATATCTATAGAAAAAAAACATTACATTTTTACATACTTATTATAAAATTTAAGGGTATTTTAATGGTGGGATAATTAAAATCATAAATAAAAAGAAATTATCATGACTAAGCTACATTGATAATATTCAAGGAGTTGCCATAGGTAAAATATATTTATATTATACTATCTATGAGTATACTCGTAGATACTCGTCATCAAAGTCTTGGCGTTCATTGAATTAGGTCTGTGTCATAAAGATGTTAAAGTGTCAGTGTATTGCTTCGATCAACAATAGTAACTAGATAAAGGGATACGTACAAAATTAAAGCAAAAACTGTCCGCGTGAATATATACTTATATAGCTACATTCGTTTACTAACAAACGGAGAAAAAAGTTTTGAAACACTTTTACTTTCAAACTAATAACAACTATGGCACCTAGTAATAAAGTCACAAATCTCCAAAACATTATCTAATACTTACGATCATTCGTCACATAAAACGAGCAAAGCAATAAATTACTCCTGTCACTTACCAATAAAAAGACATATTTTAAACAACTTTTAATGTTAAATCAATCTTAAGGTGCAACAAATAAAGTAACTTTTCCCTTAATTGCTCTGAGAACTAACATCGTTTTGCTTTATTTATTTTTGCTTCTTGAAATGCCGATTTCTATTTACTACAGGAGGTAAGGGAGTCGCGCTTAACACTAAAATAATTTATTAATGAATTAAAGTAAAAGTTTAGTTGTTTACTTTTTATGTTTTGGAAATGTATGTTTGTTAGTATCTATACATTACTTATTATTTTATTAGCGTTACGTTTTTGTGTAATATATATTTTTAAGTTTTCGCGACCAGTGCACATAATAAAACAACGTTTAAACGGTTTCAAGCGTGGTATTTTTATTACAATGTTTCGGCCACATTTCAGTAGCCGTGAGCACGGAAGGCAAAGATGTCCAGTGTCAATAAGCGGAGTTCTTAGCTGGCTTATAAAAGTCATCTCTTGTTTCTCTGGCGACAATCGAGATCCATTCTGCACACGTGATTGCTAGGAAAGCTAAAATAAAAATGGAAAGCTAAGTATCTAATGAGAGTCCAACAAACAGACACAAAAGCAGCATTAACCAATTTTAACCAACTAATTTTGAAGTGCTGCTAACAAATTTTAAAAAATTATTACAACACAAATCTACTCCATGCATTTACTGTTCTGTTAAGCAAAAGTTTGTCCATGTGTTGGCCGAGCCTTGGCCAACATTTGTAGCGGTGGTTAAAAATCGGTAATTTTGTTCAAAATTTAATATTATTTATAAGTTTAAAGCTTACAATATAGTTTATACTTCATGTACTTACCGAAAGTAAGATACTCCGGCCGTTAAATTGCTTTTTCGGGCCTTATTTTTGCAACTTTTGAATACACACTGCGGTATTGTGAGACGGGTTGACATTGGCTGTGTTTGAAGTGAACTAAACAAAATAAGAGCTCACATTTCAAGTGCGCTGTTATTTGACGAGACGGATTTTATGCACCGACCCGAAATCTAGTTACTATTGTTGATCGAAGGTGTATTGACAGCAAAATCATATGAAATAACCTAAAATTATTATCTTATTTTTTAAATATCTCTGTATCCCCATGAACAATATTGATTTTAGTTTGTTTGTAATAAAAGGGATATAATAATATAGTCTGTTATTTAAACTTAATTTCATTACTGTCCTTGAACTTCGTTTAGTAGGCCGTGCAATGTATGGAGAGTGGCCCATGTCCTTTGAATGGAGTTGGAACGTTTACCTACGTTTGCCGCTAGGGGCGCTGTTCCAACTCCATACGAATTTGAGTTAACTCGTACGCGATCGAGAAGTCGATAAGCTCGCACTAAGCACACAGTACAGAAATTTTAATAATATTATAATGGTTCTGTTTGTTTGTGCGTTTTCGTGTAGGAAACGATTTTATGCAAACACTAGTGGCGAAAATTAAGGGGTCAATAATAAAGATTCAATATCTTTATCCATTTATCAGTATTTTTGGGGAAAACAGCCGGATACATAAAAAAAAAAGAATTTGAAGATTGAAATCTCATTGGTGAAAACAGCCAGACTTCAAGACGCGATTAGGTTGTTCTGCGTGAAATAAAACGTGAAAGTCTAGAAATCATTTTTATCGAATATGGAGGGTAGAAGTAAGGAGCGCCATCTTGTATAGGGGACAAGTTGATAAAGTGTCTGTCTGTAAACAACGCCTTGTTGTTGGAAGACTCACCGACATAGCGCTAGTGTAGCAAACGGAAATTATATGAATACATATATTAGTTTTAATTAGAGTGAAGAGTTGCAAGTTTTACTTTCTATTAGTTTCTATCGTGATTTGTGTAATTAAATATTATATTCAGTATTTGCGTATGTAGTGTTTCATTCCTTCTTAATTTAGTATCAGACTCTGATTGTTTATGGCGCCGTTTTTAAAATACTTCCATTTGCTACTGTGGCGCCACCTTAATTGTCTTCAGCGGACACTTTTTAATATACAGTTTTAAGGGATTTTATGACCTGGTCCTTTAAGTCATGTCTTATTTTAATTTATATTCTTATTTTTATGAAAGATTATAATATGGAGTGAAATCAAATGAAATGAGATGAGATGATATGGGACGAAATATAATCTCAGTAAAATGGTGGTCATTTACTGAGATTTTTTCAGTGGACTTTTTGAAGGATCCCGAGAAGTTACGTCCACCGGCTTAGTTTAATTTTCCCACATTTGTGCACATTCACAAATATTAAACAATTAATAAACCACCGTTATTACACATTTAAACCTGAAGAAACACTAAATAGACAAAATAAAACAAATCACACAACTTCACTCCTCGCGTTCCCGCCAAAAAGTCTTAATACCCTGAGATGATGCTTCTTACTTCTACCCTCCATAATTTATGTGACACGAGGTGCCAGATAAAACCAAAGACAATGCCGTAGATAATATTTTTCAGAAGGTTAACGTTTTTTTTTTCCAGAGGATTCCTGCCTTCTGCCATTAATTTCTTAAGGATGGTACCAGTTTTGGGGTCGCTACTGAATCTTCCGATAATAAGAGGGGTGAGTGGTCGTATTTATTTGTAGGGTGACATCGTCTGTAGCCTAATTAGAAGACGGTGTTGGTATATTCGTGCCAATGATACGATAACGCTGGGGTGTTTTTGTTACACGATTTTTTTTCGTTGTGGAAACTGTTCAGAGATATGAGTTTAGTGTGATTTTCACAAATGAATTCAAATGACCTTTCATCCCTACATATGGACCGTTTATTTTGAAAGTGGTGTAAGTCCATTTTCGAGAAAAATGAGCTATCACGTAATTCATGCTTAATTTAATGTAATTTTTTTATATATAACTAGTCCGTGTTTAATTTCTCAAAAAAAATCCCATTTTTTGTACAGCTTAATATCGGTCGGTAAATGAAATTGCACAATCATCGATTATGAAAGTGGTATAAGTCCAATTGACAGAGGTAGGTGGCATAGCCAGACCTCATATGATTTGCCTGTATTTTTAAATCAACAAATATAGTAACCTTTAATTTTCTCGAAACAATAGAAAATAGACTTACACCACTTTCAAAATAAACGGTCCATATTTACCATTTACCCTATATTCATATCTATATAAAATAAAATAATGTCTAATGTGTTTTTGTGTATGTCATTTTCAGATCGTCGATAGGATAGCGGGAAACAATGGTCGGAACATGGTATGATTCTAGTGCCGAATGCGAGCATAGAGACATTTTTCTTTGTATAAATAAAACTAAAACTTTAAATAGTGTTTAATATATTGAATATTGATGATTGTGTCCGTGTGAGTGTAAAATTTATGAAAAGAGAGAGAAAAAAAAAACATGTTGTGAAAATAAAATGAATGTTTATTGTATTTTTCAATTGTCGCATTCCTAAACGTTAGCTTTTTTTTTTGGTTTAGATGAGTGGACGAACTCACAGTCCACCTGTTGTTAAGTGGTTACTTGAGCCCATAGACATCTACAACGTAAATGCGCCACCCACCTCGAGATATAAGTTCTAAGGGTGGTGCTACCTACCCGCGCTGACTCAAGAGATCCTACCACCAGTAATTACGCAAAATATAAATTTGCGGGTTTGATTTTTATTACACGATGTTATTCCTTCACCGTGGAAGTCAATCGTGAACATTTGTTAAGTACGTATTTCATTAGAAAAATTGGTACCCGCCTGCGGGATTCGAACACCGGTGCATCGCTACATACGAATGCACCGGACGTCTTATCCATTAGGCCACGACGACTTACTAGCAGTAATTTGTAATAATAAGATAATTTAAATTTAAACCGTTGAAAGCCATATGAAAAGTCGAGTATTACCATTCAGGCTACGATGCTCACTGCTGAGCCTTATCTTACTGAACCATTCAGGTCATCCGCGAGCCCTTTAAAACCTCTAAGCTGGGATGGTAAAAGTCGCTAATTTTTGTGTATTCCGTGCAAATTATAACATTTTAAAAATTTTAGAATTTAAACTTCTAGTTGATAAAAATTACTGTTACTGAGCGTTAAAAAAAAGCGTTCGTTAAAATTTCGTTGTCACAGCTTTTATTTTCAACGTAAACGTAAAACTAGAGAAGGAACTAGGGAAACAATCTGTAAAACTTTTTTTAAAGCTTTTTAGATTTTTTACTTATTTATGTACACACAAAAAAATGAAGACATGGTACAGAGCAATAGGAAAATTATGTACAAAGGCACTGCTTTGTTCTTTAAGAAATCTCTTCCAGCAGAGAAAATAAAATAATCTTAACAGGCGTGCAGGCGCTATTCAAATAAAACATTTCAAAAATATGTCTTAGTAAATTAAAAATAATTAAAGTTGATTGAAAGTTGATTGATTAAACTTAATTGAAAGTTTTTTAATGTTTTTTCTTTGTTTGTTAAAATTTTCACTTAATTTATTTTCTTGGTAACGAAAACCAAACTGTTAACTGTAATGAAAAACATTTGAGTTCTTTATTTTTATTTTACGAAACTTTAAAAGTAATCTGTGTAGTCTTCGAGTAGTCTCCGGTGGTAGAATCAGTGAAGCACCGCTCTTGCTAGGGCCAGTGTTATCAAATTCACTAAGGTTTTTTTTTATTGCTTGCTATAGATGGGTGGACGAGCTCACAGCCCACCTGGTGTTAAGTGGTTACTGGAGCCCATGGACATCTACAACGTAAATGCGCCACCCACCTTGAGATATAAGTTCTAAGATCTCAGTATAGTTAAGCCTGTGAGCTCACCTACCCGTGCGGGCGTAGCTGAAATAGCCCCTTAGGCTACCAACGAATAGGTAGGTGAAAAAAAAGAGACAAGCAACTCATTAAACCCGCCAAAATTAATCGTATGTCATTCATTTTGATAGACAAGACTTGTCATTTTAAATAAACATTATTGCTTTGCGATTAGTTTGGGATAAAGTTTTTTTAAACAAATAAAATAATTAATTATGGTGGAAACAATGGTTATTTTGTTTGTTAACAGTTATAGAGATAGGAATAAAATAAAGTGTAATCTGTGAAATCTTTATATGACGAAGATATGTCAAGAGAGTTAATTTAGGTTTATTATCTGTGGAGCTCACTTAAACACAACGATTGTGTTTTTGAGTAATATAACATTAGGGAGGGTAGAAGTAAGGAACATCATTTCAGTGTATTAAGAAGTGTCCGCTGTAAGGGAGACAATTAAGGTGGCACCACTGTAGCAAGTGGAAGGATTTTAAAAACAGTGCCATTAAATTTATTAGTAAAAGGAGTAGGATACTTAACGAAGAAGAAAAGAAATACTTCCTACGTAAGTAGTGATAGAAATGAATAGTTGAGATTTTAAATACTGAACTTTTTAAAAATTACACAAGTCACGATCAAAATATGTTTTTATTTTTCATTTCAGCACTCTTTGTTTAAAAATGCTATATTCATATAACTTCCACTTGCTACACTAGCGCTATGTCGGCGAGTCTTCCAACAACAACGCGCTGCTTACAGACGGACACTTTATCAACTTGTCCCCTATACAAGATGGCGCTCCTTACTTCTGCCTTCCATAGTTCTGATATTAAAAATCTTTGGTTTTCGCGCCTAAACGATACGTTTTTTTTTCTCAGGATGACGATCCTTAATGCACGGGGTTTTGAAGGGATTTGGCGCGAGAATCACGAATTTACTAATACCTACCGATTATGTAATAATATGTATTATTACAATTCGATATACATATAAATATGAATTAGCATTCCAAAATTGAAAATACAAATGATTCTTATTACGTAAAATATTTTCTTAAAAATAAATCGTGTATTTATTTTATTGTTTACCTCTAACCTTTTTCTCCTTTTGATTTTTTTGACTTGATAACATCCTATAAATCGATGAACATCGGCTGCACGCACGATAAAGTGTCACGTTCCGCCTGCGACAAGCGATAGAGAGGCACGATCGGCCCAAGCGTTGGCTTGTGACACATTCATCTCTCTCCTCGCGTGACGTCAGAGCTAGCAGTTCGAATAGTTCTGCTACTTACGTTATCACGTAAAACTATCGTCCGTAAACCGAATTAATTGTCCATAAGCAGACAAGCAATTTTTTTTTTCATTTAACACATTTTTAAATTAAAGGCTTTATAAAGAATAACATTCCGCACCGGGTTTAGGAATGTGTTAGGTATAATAAACAATAAGAGATTGGTAACACAGGACATCAAGTGTATGAAACAAAACTAATTGGCAACAATACTGGTTAGAAAGAAAAAAAAAACGAATTAGTAATAATACTGGCTGGAAAGAAAACTAATTAATTGCCTTGGTTAATATCACAAACGATATTAGGCTCGGCATGGAGAGTGAAGTGTTGACGGTGCTTGCTTTTTTTCCCTCTACCTATTAGGAGTGGGTAATATCGGTTTTGCCGCATATCGAATCGTATCTATATATCGAGGATCAATATCGTATATTGAATCTATATATTTTCTGAATCTATATATTGATGGATGCTAGTAGATTTTCTCGATTCATGATATTTGAGATTTGAAACGATACGCTGATATAATATCATAGTAGATATAGATTTAAGTCAACGTTATACGGTTGGTTTTCTGATATCAATTTATAATATGATCTTAAAGTAATAAAAAGAACATGAAAATAAAAATATCAAAAAAACTTTCCTTCATGCTTTTACCAGGCTTAGGACTGGCTACATTATTTTCAGTTTTTAGTATTTTGTGTCTTAATTTAAAATTACAAAATATACCAAAAGAGTGTAGATTTCAAAAGTTTAATACAAACACAAGAAATAAACTCAATTATTTGGATTCAACTAAAAATAGAAAAATGTGTACTTTAAAAATCAAACACAAAAAACTTTTAAGTATTTATAAACACTTGTCCAAAAATTCTAGTTCAAGGTCAAAGCGCGTGAAATTAAATTCAACGATGCAAATAGGCTATACTGCATTCAAGTTAGGGTCGAAAGTTGAAACTTCTTTCCTTAATTGTATCCTGCTGATACGCTAAGAATAATCTACAGACATATGGACTTAAATATAAGGTTTACAATTGTATGGATAATGCCTGTTTCTGTTTCATTCATCACATGATATCCCTATCGTGCGCTCACTCACTCTGGCCGATTCGATACGAACCAAACGAATATTGCTGATATTAACGAATCGGTACGATATGCCGATGCGCATCACATCGAGCAATATCGTGTATCGGCTGATATCGCAATATAGATTTCGATTCACGAATCGGTACGATATGGCGATGCGCATCACATCGAGCAATATCGTGTATCGGCTGATATCGATATATAGATTTCGTGCGGGGCGATATCGGATTCAACGATATTGGTGCGATATATAGATATTGAATCTATATACGATTTATATCACCCACTCCTACTACCTATGCTGATAGCCTTGAGGGGCTATTTCAGCTTCACCCTAACATGTAGGTGCGCTCACGGGGCTCAAACCGGAAGTGCTGCTAACACTGGCCGTAGCAAGAGCGGTGCTTCGCAGAATTACCACCAGATCGGAAACGCGACCCACTGAGAAGTTCCGGCGAGAAGCTCATAGGGCTGAGTCGGTGCTTGCACTGCTTGAGTAATGCTTTCAACACCGTCGATATTGACATTCTCCTTGCTATACTTGGCTCTCTTAACATATCCCCATCCGTAGTTGATTGGTTTCGTAGTTATCTGTCTGGTCGCCGGTAGCGTGTTCGCATTGAAGATAATTTTTCTTCACCATGTGACGCACGCGTGGCTGTCCCGCAGGGTTTTTTTATTTATTATTTAGATGGGTGGACGAGCTCACAGCCCACCTGGTGATAAGTGGTTACTGGAGCCCATAGACATGTTTTTTTTTTTTTTTTTTTTTTATTGCCTTTGTAGGCAGACGGGCATACGGCCCACCTGATGGTGAGTGGTTACCGTCGCCCATGGACTTCAGCAATGCCAGGGGCAGAGCCAAGCCGCTGCCTACCGCTTAATACTCTCCACAAGCCTCGTTTGAAGAAGGACATGTCATAGCGCTCGGGAAACACCGTGAAGGGGAGCTCATTCCATAGCCGGATGGTACGTGGCAAAAAAGATCTCTGGAAACGCACTGTGGATGACCGCAGTGGCTCCAGGTAGTATGGATGAACTCTACTCCGGTGGCGGGCGGTGCGATGGNACACATACACATACTGTGATTACAAGTATTTCGCACACAACAAAAACACCCACACATAAATCTCAGGACAGATATTCGTTCGCAAACTAGCACAAAACACCCGTAGGCATACACACTCACACACGCAAAAAGGCAATAAAAATGTTCATACACGCTAGTGCTTGATAAAATCGATATTCTTTATCGATAAATTATCTGATCAATGAATGGAGAAAATGAAACATGAAATAAAAATTTAAGAAGAAAACTATTTTACTTCTATTAATTACAAATAGTCACTGTCCCTGGAATAAAACGTATTTGTTAAGCAGTTGGCGCTTGCTATTAATTGCGAATGAATTTTTCAATTTAAGTGTTTTATGGTAAAATCATTTTCAGTAAAATGCTTAGAGCAAATAGTACTCGTCTTTGTCTCCAGCTTCCTCCACCTGTCACGTCAATCCATTGTTCCCTGGCGTTAGGTTCTTTAGGAAACCTAAAATTTTTAATTTACTGCATAAGTCAAATAGCATTTTACTTATATTTTAATAAATCTTAGACAATATAGTAAATACCCGTAAATGAGAGGTCTACATGTCTCTTTATATTATACCTTCACATTAATTCAATGATAATAATTCAATAATAATAATACATATTTATTTTACTCAAAATACGTCTCACTAAGAATATACTAGGTATCATTCATCAATTAAATATAAAATAATACAAAAATTATCCATTTCAAATGTAAATATAGTCGAGAATTCTGTCGATGGTTTTATTTCACCACATGGTCACCTCACTATCGACAAACTGTACCACGGCCAATCAGGGCAAAGGCCGAATTTTCAAAGATTGAAGTGTAGAGAACGCAATGCATGTAGTACATTGGAAGCTGACTTGGTCATTGCGTTCATTGGGCGAGTACACATCGCGCAATGTATGCTATTTATAACTTGCCGCAATAATATTGTTAATGTTTGGAATTTCATAATGCTCAGTATATTTTACGCTTTAGACAAATAATATTGTAATTAAATGGTAATTTCGACTTACCAATCGAAAGATATACCTCCTCGCTCTATACTTGAGGTCTGATTTTTTGTTTTACAAGTTATAATTGCACAACACGGCACTATAAAGCGGAGATCTGTTCGCCAAAGTAGTCCGAAGCGCACTAAACGCGGTGAATGAAAGAATCGGTCGAGTTAAGTTTGTACAATCATAACTGTGGCACGCTTGCCCCGCCTACATTACCATTCCAACCTTATTTATCTATTCCGTGGGTAGACCGACCGTACGGATGTGTGTATCATCATCAAAAAAAGCGATTTCGTATTGAACGTGGCCAAATATATCGACACCGAGCGCCTAATCACCGAAGTCCGTCTTCGTGAACCGCTCTGGGACAAAGGCCACGTGTTATATAAAGATTGTGATGGCAAGTTAAAGGCCTGGCAAGAAGTATGTGCTGATAATTCATCAAAACTTTATAGACATTCTGAAATAATTAAAAAAAACTTGAACGTTCCTTAAACGTTTTCGAAAATAATAAGCAGCAATTAAACTATTCGCAAACTCTTCCCTTTTGCGTGCCGACTATACCAATCCGGTCAGATTTTTGGTCAGGAGAGCACTGAATGAAGCAAACTGACGATCGGTTAATGCGTACCGTCAGGACGGAACGTACGCACAGACGGTCGGTGGAGCACTGTAACCGGCCTTACGCGGGTGGTAGGATCTCTTGTGAGTCCGCACGGGTAGGTACCACCACCCTGCCTATTTCTGCCGTGAAGCAGTAATGCGTTTCGGCTTAAAGGGTGGGGCAGCCGTTGTAACTATACTTGAGACCTTAGAACTTTTAACTCAAGGTGCGTGGCGCATTTACGTTGTAAATGTCTATGGGCTCCAGTGACCACTTAACATCAGGTGGGCTGTGAGTTCGTCCCCCCATCTAAGCAATAAAAAAAAGAAATATTTATGGTGCAGGATCCTCAACACGGATGCGAAATTTTCTCCCTACTGCCACCAAGATTGCGCTTGCACAATCTCTTCTTCTCTCCATCCTTGATTATGCCGATATTAGCTATCTTGACCTTACCGAGGCACGAATAAATAAACTTGCGCGTCTTCAAAATTTCTGTTCAAGTTTTATATTTGGCTTACGAAAATATGATCACGTCTCAGAGTGCCTCGCCGGAATGGCCATATTCTCTCTTTGCTTTATAATGCTGTTCTCTTTAGTCCTTCCTCTCCTTCTTATCTCAAAAGGCGCTCTGCGTTTATCCGTGATACACATACTGTATCCCTAAGATCATTAGAAAACATGCAATTAATGATGCCAGTGCATTCGACAAGGTTTTACGATCATTCCCCGGTCATCGTTCTCGTTGAACCCGTCGCTTCAGTGGGTCGCGGTTCCGATCCGGTGGTAGATTCTGCGAAGCACGGCTGTTGCTAGGGTTCGTGTTAGCAACGTCGTCAGGTTTGAGCCCCGTGAGCTCACCTACTAGTTAAGGTTACGCTGATATAGCCTCTCAAGGCTATCAGCTTAGGTAGGAAAAAAAAGGTCATTCCTTTACCGTTCAAGCTATTCGTTTGTGGAATGCTCTCCCGGTACGTATACGACGTGCCGAAACATTAAATTCGTTCAAACGCCTCATTTTAAGGAGCATTTTTTAAATAATTAGCTGTCAACCAGTTCAATTTGTGTTAGGGTAGATTCTGAAATTGGTATTTACTTCAATTGTATGCTATATATGTTTCACAGGCGTTTTAAGTATGTTTTATATATAAATTTTTTATTCATAGTTATGTGTAAAGATACTACCTGGAGCCACTGCGGTCATCCACAGTGCGTTTCCAGAGGTGTTTTTTGTCACGTACCATCCAGCTATGGAATGAGCTCCCCTCTACGGTGTTTCCTGAGCGCTATGACATGTCCTTCTTCAAATGAGGCTTGTGGAGAGTATTAAGCGGTAGGCAGCGGCTTGGCTCCGCCCTTGGCATTGTTGAAGTCCATGGGCGACGGTAACCACTCAACATCAGGTGGGCCGTATGCTCGTCTGCCTACAAGAGCAATAAAAAAAAAAGCAAAACTATTATTACTTTACATTGTGTATTTGTATGTATATTTATAAATGTATATGTCGGAGAAGCCACAATTATTACACACATACATCATCATCAGACATCGTAGGGGCGAAATAGGGCCATCGAGCTAAGACAAATATTGAGTAGTTACACCAATCACGCTGGATGTCTCTAATATATTAAGTGTATAATCTATGGTCTTAGAACTGAGAACAATTTAGAAATCTTCTCTTGACGTTAGCAAATGAAAACGAATGACAGTTCGAACGAATGACAGAAACAAAATCTAATTGACAATGATACTGGCTGGAAACAAAAATATTGGCAATATTACTGGCTGGAAACAAAAGTAATTGACAATAATACAGGCTGGAAACAAAACTAATTGACAATAATACTGGCTGGAAACAAAAGTGATTGGCAATAATACAGGCTGGAAACAAAACTAATTGACAATAATACTGGCTGGAAACGAAAGTAATTGGCAAAAATGCTGGCTGGAAACAAAAGTGATTGGCAATAATACTGGCTGGAAACAAAAGTAATTGACAATAATACTGGTTGAAAACAAAACAAATGATTTTTTTTTACAATTTTTACGACGCGATTATTTTTTTCAAAATAAATGATTATTTCACTGTACATTCATACTTTATGGACAAATTTATAAAATGTACATAAAAATTAAATAATTTTGTGTAGGTATAGGGTTTGGCTCTGCTTCTCACTTTATGTTTGACTCAAGGCTCCATTACTGAATTTATTTAGATCTAATCATCGCATTTTGGCAAACAATGGATCTATTCGATGAGAAATAGTCCGTTTGGAATGTTTTCTCAAAACAAATATCACGACTATAATAAAATTTAATGAAAAACGGAACGTACTCCGGAATCACAAAACAGCTGCTATACAAGACATCGATATGTAGATGGCGCCACTAATAGCTATTGGGCAGTCTCCGCCCGACCCCCGGGCTGTGTTGGGATTGGCACAAAGAAAAGAGCCCGTAATTAATAGAAAGAAAGAAAAAACCCGCGTCTGTCCATGATTACATGTTAATGTAACGAAGAAAAAAAGATTCAATTAACATTTCTAACTGAGATGTTATTAAAACGGTTGTTTAATTTACAAATAATGAGGAACTAATGTGATTTGCGGATCGCTTTGATTTCATTAGTGTAATAGTGAAATAAAATATAAATAATTGAAAACGTTCGATGTGTTTTGTGTTGGTAACACAGTCGCTTTAATAAAATTTTGTTTAATTTATCATCGAGTGGCTTAACCGTACAGTTATTGTAAGTTATGAATTACATATTATATGCTATTTTTAATTTCTTTATTGCTCTCAATTCTACTAGGAGAGTTCGCTAGGAACATAACACTTAATATTTTTGTATGGCATTTTGGATTGTGTTAGTTTGTTTCTTAAAGTCATTTGTTATAAAAAAAATCCTTTGCACGTATTGTAATGCATGTTCTGTTGCATGTTGACTTTTGTTTAATTTGAATTTTTATTGTCGTGATTTGTAATATAAATGTATTGTTTTTTTTTTGCTAATTCAAGAATAAATTCTTTTTCTGCTTGTCTTTTATTTCAAAGCCTATAAGTGTATCTTTAACACGAATATTATTGAATAATCTTTTGCCAGTGTATTTTTGTTAATTTCCCAAGCACACATAAGTATGTATATACCTATACATATTTCTAAAATATTACGTTTGTTGTTAAGCTATTGAATATAAAATAATAGGTACTATAAGAAACTATGATGTGTAAAAAAGATAAATTAGAGCGATACTTATTGTGTTGATTACTGTCCATATACATATTTATGCGGCTCGCCTAAGTTAGGTAATGTATTCCCAAATTTATATTACTTATGACCATTTTTATAAATGAAGACGTGAGTGGATGAACGGTACACTTATTAAGATTTTTGAGTTTTTACAATAGATTATGGTATAATTCCGGATTTAAAGGCTATTTTTAGAAATTGGATGTGATGAAGGAGTTACCATGTACGAAAAAAAATACAAGTAACAAAAGTTTGTTGCCCGTTTTCTCAAAATTAATAAATTGTATCTTATCCCTTCATCCACTCGTGTCTTCAATTATAATCGTAAAAAAATATCTGATTAAGTAGGTACGTACCTACCGCGCTAACGATGTACCGAAAAATAGGTACCCTACCCATTAAATTCTGATTGGCGGTAGGAACGGCAGAATTGTGGTGCTCCTATGAACTCACAATAAGTCCACTCCAAGAGTATTAAAATCACAGAAGAATGGGGAAATTCGTCTTCCTTCCGATGAATAGACTTGTTCAAGTCGACGCGGTCTAAAAGATAAGACGCCCGGTGCTTTCGTATCGGGCGAAGCGACTGTCGAACTCCAAATCCAATTTTTCGAATGACATTTTCACGAGCAATCGATTACAAATTTAGATTAAATTGAAAAATTCGTAATTACTGGACGTCTTATGAACAAAACGAGGGGCGACCAGCCATTGTTTGTGCTATGGAATTGAGACCCCGAAACTCACGTCTCAAGATGGGCAGCAGATTTACGTTGTGATGTCTATCGGCTCCTATAACCGGGTGGGTCGTGAGCTTGTATAAACTTTCATCTAAGCAATTAATACCTTATTAGGGATCTTTGGTCTACATTTTCTTGAGCTTCGCCAAATCTCGATGAGTGGTTGAACAAGCGCGAACTTGCACGGATTGGCAAAACCGTCTTAAATTGATTAGCTAGATTTTTGCCGTAGGTAATCAATTAGGCTATATACATATATACGTTCTCGTTTCAAAGATCAAATCATGATATTCCACTTGTACCTCACCCTTCGGCGTCTGGAGTAAATTCTAAAAATAATCTTAACACTTAATTAAAAGTAGATATTCGGAATAAACTCGCATTCTTTATTGTAAACTAGCTGACCCGGCAGACTTCGTAGTGCCTCAATCGATAAATAAAAGACCTAAACTTTTGTATAAAATAATATACTTAAAACAAACAAAAGGAATCCGTCCGACGGGGGACACATCAAAGGAAAAACAAAATTGTTATTTTTATTTCATTCCGAGCATTTTCATATTTATCTACCTTTTAAAGCTTCTCTGGACTTCCACAAATTATTCAAGACCAAAATTAGCCAGATCGGTCCATCCGTTCTCGAATTTTAGCGAGACTAACGAACAGCAATTCATTTTTATATATAGAGATAAGTATAATATATTATTTCCGACGTTAACACGTTGTACGCTTTACGATCCACCGGTGGGCCTAACCTAGGTACCTACTATACCATTGGGGCCAACCCAAAATCTGAGTGACAGTAATTTTTTTTATTTCGTTTTCAAAGCTTTGTCGTTCTGGACACTTTCCCCGACTGCCCCTAGTGTAAATCCACCACTGCTGATACTATCAATACCAGGTCAGGGTATTAGAACGAAGCTACAACACTATTGTATGGTCATCGGTCCTTGACGCGCGTGCGAATTGTCAAGATGATCGGACGCCTTGGGAGTCGCTGGAAATCACGTTCAAATAAATAATAGCTTAAGAAACAATGATTTTATTGTGAAAAAAGCGTGGGGTGCTTTTCAGGATATTATCAAAATAACCCTTCTACTCATATCTGTTTACAAAATATTTATAACTGATAGCATGCACCCCACGCCTTTTTTTTTACAATAAAATCATTTTTTCATACACTATTTTTAATTAAAATTTATTAAAATGTTTTTTCTATTTTTTAGTTGGTTTTTGTATAAAAGCGTATTTTGTTAGTTTTTTTAAAGTATTATTTATTTTTCATTTTTTAGTTAAATTTCAATATTTTCTATATTTTTTTTCATATTTTTTTTAAATTTCAATTGTCATCGGTCCTTAATAAGTATACGAAATTTCGAGTTCATCTGACGTTTTGAAGGGGGTCAAAATCATGTTCAAAGATTCCGTTACAAACATATTATACACTAACATACTTATGTAAGTCTGAAGCTAATAAAAGCGTATTAAAAAGAATTCGATTAAAAAAATTGAGAACAGAGAGAGAACATATATTATTGCACACCAAAACACAACATTATAAAACAGTCAACAAGCAGATACGTTTGTACATCCCGAGGGGGAGGGTGATGGGAGAGATGTGCTCAGCACAAAATGCTACACTTTTCCCCTGTGCCTTTCCATGAGTTCTGTCTCATGCGAGGTTTGGACGTTAGTTGTTGAGCGACAGGAGGGTTTAGTCTGTTGGACTCCGACATGCTCTGCCCGCCATCCCCAGTGGAGGGCAGAATTCCGGCGATTTCCTCCAGAACAAAAAAAAAAGTTTGTACAATAGGCGGTCTTATCGCTAAAAGCGATTTGTTCCATACAACCGCTTATTAACAGAAGTTCTGGAAAAGATAAAGATGCAGCAGCAGTTATTAATAATACATTATTGAAGAAAATACATACATACAATAAATAGATATATACCTACCGTTAAATTTACTGGTGGTAGGACCTCTTGTGAGTCCGCACGGGTAGGTACCACCGCCCTGCCTATTTCTGCCGTGAAGCAGTAATGTGTTTCGGTTGGTAGGGTGGGGCAGTCGTTGTAACTATACTTGAGACCTTAGAACTTATATCTCAAGGTGGGTGGCGGCATTTACGTTGTAGATGTCTATGGGCTCCAGTAACCACTTAACAACAGGTGGGCTGTGAGCTCGTCCACCCACCTAAGCAATAAAAAATTTTTTAATATGAAATCACTATATGATTTATATACCAATATACTTACATACACATAATAAATCAACAGTATGGATTGAGCTTAAACAAGCAAACAACGCTAGGCGGATGAGTAATGTTCCTTCGCCATTCTTTTAAAGCTGCTTAAAAGTTGGAGTATGTACTTCTCACTGCATTCAATGACAAGCTAATAAAATCGTATTATATAAAAGGCCTGTTGAAAATGTTTAGGCCGTATCTGTAGCTCCAGTGGTCCTGGTCCACATTAATGAATCAATCGGTCAGAATAAGTGATGCTATACGTTTAAATATAGGTATAAAGTAGGCATTAATGTGTAGCGGTTTGAGTTTCCCTGCGAGATCAAATCAGAAATGAGGAGATTCGCAGGAAAACCATGGTAACCGACACAGCCCAAAGGATTGCAACGTTGAAGCGGCAGTGGGCAGGACACATTGCTCGTAGAACGGATAGCCCTTGGGGCCAGAAAGTTCTTGAGTGGCGACCGCGTACCGGGAGACGTAGCGTGGGTAGGCCTCCTACAAGATGGAGCGACAACCTATTGAGGTTCGCGGGGATCCGCTGGATGCAGGCAGCGCAGGACCGTTGTTTGTGGCGAGGCTTGGAGGAGGCCTATTTCCAGCAGTGGACGTCTGTGGGCTGATAAGAAGAAGTGTGTAGCGGGTGGCTATTATCAATCATAAGATATTTGAATCTCGCCAACGATATTATCAAGAAAAAGTTGCATATACACAAGTTTTGGTGGTAGGACCTCTTGTGAGTCCGGACGGGTAGCTACCACCGCCTTGCCTATTTCTGCCGTGAAGCAGTAATTTGTTTCGGTTTGAAGGGCGGGGCAGCCGTTAGACCTTAGAACTTATATCTCAAGGTGGGTGGCGCATTTACGTTGTAGATCTCTATGGGCTCCAGTAACCACTTGACACCAGATGGGCTGTGAGCTCGTCCACTCATGCAAGCAATTAAAAAAAAAACCTGTGAATCCGCGCGGGTTGGTACCACCGCCCTACTTATTTCTGCCGTTTAGCAGTAATGTAGTTTCGGTTTGAAGGGCGGAGCAGCCGTTGTAACTATACTGAGACCTTAAGCCCGTCATACACGGACTGTTTGAGCAGTAACCCGGTAATCAACATACACGGACCTCTCTTGTAGACAGAGTCAACAGTTTGAAGTTGCCATTGATCACTGCTCGAGTAGTCAGTGTATGCCTGGCGACTATTTGACCGCATGATGAAGTTTCGCTGTGCTGCTAACCGCCCGAAGCAGTTGCAACTGCTCGTGTATGTACGTACGTGGCAGTCTGTAGTTCAATATGTAGTTGCAACTTGAAGCAGTCGATCTTGACTGCTTCAAGCTGCCCATGTGTGGCGGGCCTTAGAACTCATATCTCAAGGTGGGTGGCGGCATTTACTTTGCAGTCGTAGATGTCTATGGGTCCCGTAACCATTTAACATTAGGCGGGTCGTGAGCTCGGCCATCCATTCTATAAGTAAAAAAAGAAAGAAAAAAAAACACGTGTGGCACTCGGGGACTACCGC